GAAATTCAGGGCAATGACCATCATTTTGCCACCATGAGGGGCAGGCCACCAGGGACCCTCCCAGACTCCACCAGCCTGGAGCAGCTGCCCCAGCCGCCCTGGTGTGGCCACTTCTGGACCCCCACCACCCGTGCCCAAGGCACCGCGTGTCCGGGGAGGACAAGCCCAGGGGCAGATTCTGAGGGAGGAGAAGGGGAGCCACCCACCTTTCTTCTGTTTGATGCGGAGGAGGTAGAGGGCCGCCATCAGCAGGACCACCAGCAAGGCACACACCACGCCCACCACGATGAAGATGTTCCAATTGGCAGACTTGTCTGAGGACCACACAGAAGACAGGCTTCACTTATGCAGATGGAAAACAGAAAAACCCAAACCCACGGCCCCTCTGCACAGTGAGGCGGCGCTGCTAACAGAACAGCTGGCTGGGCCGGGCGAGCCTCGCAGTCACGTGGGCACAGGGGTCGGGGCACAGTCGCCCCTGGGGGTCACCAGGAGCAAACACCAGGCTGAGGGCCCGGGGTAGGGGACTGCAGAGCCCAGCTGCAGGGTGTGGGCAGCATCTCCCTCCCGGGAACAGAACACGTTCCTTCTCATCTGGAGCCGAACCACAGAGGAGCCACCCGTCCATCTGAGACCGTGAGTCAGCCGCTAGCGGCAGAAGGCGCTGGGGGAGAGGGACACTGTGGAGCGGCTGTGTGCCCACTGGCTGCGGGACTCCGTGAGAGCCCAGGGGCTGACCACCCATCTGCACCCCGGCCCTGGACCCCACAGCCTACGAGCTGTGAATCGGGGCACCTGAGTCAGAAGCAGAGGCTTGAGGGGCCCAGGGCACAGGTAGGAGATCCCAGGCTCCAAGTCATAGAAACGTGGGTTCAAGTCAATGTCCCTAACCAGTTACACGACCTTGGGCAGGTCAGGTGAACCTCTTCCCCCTGCTGCCTTCTTCTTGGGATGATAATAAATTCCACTGCCACTGTTCAACACCAACTCTTCCAACCTCTCTCCAACAATTAATTGAGTTCCTATTATGTGCCCTGAAGCTACAATGCTGAATAAAACAGTCACAGTCCCTACCCACCGAGAATCAGAGCTGAGGGGGGGCACGAAGCTCATCTCCTTCAACATGGCCCTTCGCAAGCAGAGGCTCAGAGTCAGGCACTGACTTGCTCAAGGTCCCACAGCAAGCCTGGGACAAATCCACACACCCTGTATTGCACATCCTATGAAAACCAGGCTTCGGTACAATCAAAGGGACACCATGACACAGCACTGAGGCTCCCTTGGGGCTTCCCTGAAGGAAGCACAAAGAAGTGGCCTCCGTTCTCATCTGTCCAAAGGTTCTGCTGTGTACAAACTGTCAGCCAAGGTGACGACAGATCATCACTCCACAGTGGCACTAGAGGACAACAAGATGCGGCTATTTTCAAGTAAGAATTCGCAACACAACGGAGGGGGGCGGACAACCCGTGCCTGGGTCTCCCAACCTGGTGGAATGGATGCGTCACCTTCATGCTAAATGAGCATGCCCTTGGCCCAGAAAGGGTCCCTGAGAGACGGTCGCACAGAATGGGACACATGGGACACAGTAGGTACAACAGTGGTCTTGGCAGCTCTGGTTTTCCTTGAGCCAAGATGAAAGAATCCCCAGAGCCTCCCACCCCACTGCCAGCAGCAGGAGTGCTGGGGACACCAGGCTGAGGTCAGAAAGAGAGGAGGGAGGCGGCCGTGAGGATGTGACAAGTGTCAGGTGAAGAAGGCAAGTGGCGGCGGCCAGGACAGGCCCATCCCCCGTCCTGCCTTCCTCCTTAGTGTCCCTGTTTGAAGGCCCCATGAGATGTGTGCCCAACCCCACAGAGGAGACCCCCAGAGTGTGGTGTGGGGAGCTAAGACGCTGCTGTTCCCAGGCTCTGGGTGCCCTGGGGGAAGGGGGTCACTGCTCTCACGTCACAGCACACAGAGTCAAGGTGAAGTTTAAAGCACTCAATCAGCTGGGATGTGGGCCTCACCAGGGGTGTTTTCGGGGCTTTGCTTCCCGGGGTCGGCAGAGACCTTCAGGGTGTAGTTCCTGGTGGTGGCTGGCTGCCCGTCGTGCTCCACCCGGCAGGTGAACGTCACGTCCTCCCTGTGCACAGAGGAGTTGACCAGCAGCCAGCTCGTCACGTTGAAGGTCCCGTCCTTGTTCTCTGAGCGGGTTGAGGCTGTCTCTGTCCTGGACACATTTCCATTCTCCACCCAGGTCACCTGTAGGCTCTGGGGGTAGAAGTGCTTCACCTGGCAGGTGACGTTCACCTGGTTCCCTGCCATGGTGGGCGGTGGGGTGACCTCCACGGTGGGCGGAACTGAAACAGCACAGGGAGAAGCTGTGACCTTATGGCACAGATGCTGAGCTCCTCCCAGCAGGGCAAGGGCCTCCCTCGGGACAGGGCCAGGCATGCAGAGGGGCTCAGACACTGGGGGTTTGCACAGGAGTGAATCACTAACCACAGGGCCTGCCACCCACAGGTGCCAAGGGACCAGCAGCTCCCCTGAGGGTAAGTGAGTGAGGCGGACAGGCTGCCTGCAGGAAGTGAGCAAATAGATGGAACCTCCTGCACGTCAAGGCTCAGCTCTGGGAGGAGCTCTGCAGTGGTAGTTGCTGATGGTCAATGAAATGAAGCCACCAGCACATGCTGGACACAGGGCAGGAGTCCATATGTGATGGCAGGTGGCAGCACTGCTGGGAGCTAGAACCCAGGCCACTGAGGTCCTGGCCAAGGCCCCTGGGGAGCAGCAGGCTGGGTGGGCAGTGTGGGCTGAGGTGGGGATCAGGGTCCTGTACCTCGGATGGTGTCAGACAAGTTGGCAGTCCCACGAAGAGGGCTCCCCTGTAGGGTGATGTGGGCCACCTCACAGATGACTTGAGAGTGCACGTCCCCAGGGGCCAGGGTCACCTGGGCTGTACTGGACACGCTGTAGGACACACTTTCTCCCGTGGGGTGCACGCTGGTCTGGGTGTGCGAGAGCTCATTCCCATTTTTGAACCACTTGAGGGTGATGTTCCGGGGGGAGAAGCCGTGGGACTCGCAGGTGAAGCTCACCATCTGCCCAGGTGTGGCCCTGGTCCCAGGACCCGATACCATGGGGGGAGAAGGTCTGGCTGCAGAGGAGCATTGACAGACAAGTCAGGTGATTGGGAGGCCACCTGTGACCATGAGCGAGTGACACTGTGAAGACCCTTCCTAGACATTATCATCATTATAATTATTTTTTTGGCGTTGTTAGAGATCGACCCCAGGCCTCATGCTGGGAAGCACACGCCAAGGCTGAGCTTGGTCCCCAGCCTGTACAGGACATTATCTGTTAATCCTCTTAATAAAGCCAGGAGCGGGTGTCCTCAGCCTCTTATCTCCTGTCTTGGTGGCAAACACAGTGACCCGGCCAGACGGTGAGGAAGGGAAGACCAGGTGGAATCCCAGGTCTGAGGTCAAAGTCCTCTGCAGGCGGGGATTTCCACCAGGCTGGGCCCAGGGAGGAAATGGCCGACCTGTGTCACTCTTTGTATTGATCATTCCCTACTGGCCTCCCCGAGACCTTGGGGACCTAGGGAAAGCATTTATAGAAGTAAACACAGTGACAACCAGCACCACAGCAGCACCGTAAGCCCTGGAGCCCTGCGGCCACCCTGGCCTGTGTGTGGTGTGCACGTTCCAGAGTCTAAGACATGGGGGGTCAGCACCTCTTCTGGGGCCACAGTGACGATTACAGGAGACCCTGGGAGCATTTTGCTTTGAGTCACACACTGGAGATGGGCCTCAGATGAGAACCCAGGCGGATCTATCTTTCTCCAAGAATTTCTTTCTATCCAGGGAGCTCCCTGTAGGTTTTTATGAATGAACTCCATGTTTTCATTCTTTCCAAAAATATACCAGTGGTCTAACCTGTGTTGACTCCTGAATTTGAAAGGGAGAGGCTAAAGAGATGCTTCCTCCACCACCACCGCTCCCCCCC